CAAAAGCAGCCGAGGGGGAGCGGCACGTGGCGGCCGAGGCGGGGGACCTCGTCCGGCTCTTCCTGCGGCGCAGCCGGGGCGGTGCCTACTTCGAGCCCTCCCCACTCTTGGTGGTGGCCAACGCCAATGTCCTCTGTGCTCTCTGCTTCGGCAGCCGCTACAGCCACACCGACAGCGAGTTCACGGCGCTGCTGGGCCGTAACGACCGCTTCGGGCAGACGGTGGGAGCAGGCAGCATGGTGGATGTGCTGCCCTGGCTCCTGCACTTCCCCAACCCCGTGCGCCGTGTCTTCCGTGACTTCCAAGCCCTCAACCGGGAGCTGCACAGCTTCGTGCGTGCCAAGGTGGTGCAGCACCGCCAGACCTTCGACCCGCGCACCCTCCGCGACATCAGCGACATCATGATCGCTGCTGTGGAGCGCGGCGACAGGCCCCCCGAGGGGCTGGGACCCAAGGACGTGGAGGGCGCCATGACTGACATCTTTGGCGCGGGGCAGGACACCACGTCCACAGCGCTCTCGTGGGTCCTCCTGCTGCTGCTGAAGCACCCGCAGCTCCAGCAGGACCTCCAGGCTGAGCTGGACCGGGTGGTGGGACGCTCCCGGTTGCCCACGGCGGAGGACCGGCCCCACCTGCCCCTCCTGGAGGCCTTCATCTACGAGACGCTGCGCTACAGCAGCTTTGTGCCCATCACCATCCCACATGCTACCACGGACGACGTGGAGTTCGAGGGCTTCCACATCCCCAAGGGCACCGTGGTCTTCATCAACCAGTGGTCGGTCAACCACGACAGCAGCAAGTGGCCCGACCCGCAACGCTTCGACCCCGCGCGCTTCTTGGATGTGCAGCAGCACCTGGACCGCGACCGGGCTGGCAGCGTCATGATCTTCTCAGCCGGCCAGCGGCGCTGCATCGGCGACCAGCTCTCCAAGCTCCAGCTCTTCCTTTTTGCCGCCATCCTCCTCCACCAGTGCTCCTTCCACGCCAACCCGGCGGAGCACCTCACCATGGACTGTGTCCACGGGCTGGCGCTGAAGCCGCAGCCCTTCACCGTCACCGTGCGTCAGAGGCACCCCGCGCTCATCCAGCCCTGAGCGTCTGCCAGGGGTGGGTGGTGTGTCCCATCTGTGCTGCACCCCCTTGGTTTGGAGCTGGCAGTGCCGGGGTGTGGGGGACGGATCCTGCTTTGCCCGCAGGCGCATCTTGCCACGGTGCATCCCTGCCCCTGTTTGTAGGGTGAAGGGCAGCAAGTCCCCGCAGCAATAAATGCCTTTGACATGGGACCTGGCTCCGCTTGTTTTCTCCAGGGGGGTGGTGGTTGGAAGCATCATTTGCGCCCAGGCCCCCATCCTGCATCCCCCTGAGCTCTCCCACCCCAAAACAGGTCAAAACCCACCTCCCCACAGGGACCTCCCTTCAAGGACCAGACCCCCCCCTTTGCCCCAGGGCGCAGCAAGGACTAGTTTGCTTCATCTATCATAGCACAAGGCTGGAGGAGGATATTTGCCAGGGGGGATGCACTTCCCAACATCAAGGAAAGCCACGCAGGAGCTAAGGGAGGCGGGGGGTTTAAGAAGCATTTAAGGACCAGTTGCCAGGGCGTGGGAGGATGGCCCCATCAGTTTGAAGCCATGAGCAAGTCTCCCTGCTCCAGTTTGGGTGTGGAGGGAGCTTCAGGAAGGTTTTGGGGGGGCTTTCTCACCCCCCCTTTCCCTCAGACCCCACTGGTGGCGCATGGGGTGGGGTGGAGGGACACCTCCCTGGGGATAGAGCAACCCAGGGGAAGGTATTTCTCCTCTACGAGCCTCTGCTTGAAGTGGAAAGAGTAGCCTACCCAAAAGTAGGCTCTGACAGCGTGCATTGAGCCGCTTTGCTGAAATGGGACATGGCCCATCTCCAAAAATAACATTTTCCCCCAAAATTCAGCTCCTGAATGACATCTGGCAGCGTGACCTGCAGCTGTAAGGAAATCCTCTTTTCTTGGGCACAAGTCCCTCATGCATGAAGTAAATCGATCCCTGCCAGGTAGCTGTTACCGCCTTGCACGCCACCAACGCTGTCACATGGCCGTACCGCATCACTGAGCTGCTAAAGCAGATAAACCTTAGCAATTTTTTTAAGGTCCGACCAAAGCTAATAGAGTTGGCTTTATAACAGGGTGTCTTCAGCTTCATATGGTCCCCAAAAGGGAGGACAGAAACAGCCACACAAGCTAAAACCGTGCTTATCTCAGTGCCACCAGCCTGTGGCCACCCCAAGGAGCTTCAGAGGAGGGTACAAATCCCCCCTAATGACAATAACTTACCAGTAGCCAGTTTATCTCCTTCAGAGGCTTTACCCATCGGTAAGGCTGGATTTATGGGGTTTTTTTGGGGGGGGAGGTGGCAGAAACAATTTTCCACCTGCCTGTGCTGGTCTTTGCTCTCATCAGGAAAATGCTGGTCCCAAAAAGCACGTTGGGATTTCCCATAATGCCCAAGAGTCAGTTGTTCTGGTCACAGCTGCCTTTCACCTCTTGACTTCGTTTTCATTTGACCCGTTGAAATACTGCCCCGGTAATGTTCTGCACTACGGCGTATTTTAATACCCACTCGCCAGCTCTTCATGTATTACTAACGGTGCAAATGCACGACATAAATCCTCACCCACCACACGAATAGCACGAGTAGGATTTGAAACTCCTTCCAAGTATAGCACAGAAATTAAGCCCTGGTCGTGCCCTGCTGAGCATCGGGGCTGGTGGGTTCCCAATGCCATCGCAGTGTCCCCTGGGTATGCCCTGCCCATGGCTGCCTCTGTGGGCTATTAAAATCACTGAGCATGAACGAGGCACTGGTCAGCAACAGCTCCATGGTACCAAGGTCTGAAAGCAAGTGCAAGTTTTCTCCTCCTCCTTAGACACATGTCTGTGAAAACATCCCTTGAGATGTCGTAAGACAGAAACCAGCGGTTATCTCAGCATCATTTACTGCCTGTTCGGAGGTTTGCCACCAACGGTCATCTCCAGCTTTTATGGTCCAGCTGGAGACCCTCTGCCTGACAGCAGCACCCTCTGGAGATGCCGACACCGCAGGCTCCTGCGCTCCTTGACCAGCGGCCAGCCTTCCCACATGGGACCGCAGGCTGGTTATTTGTTCAACCTTATTTTATGGGTACACTGAAACAGAGGAATGGATATGGGAACAGCCCTGGGGCCTCAGCCCTCCTCTTTAAGCCATCTCAGAGCACGAGGACGCTTTCAAGTCCATCTCGCACCACAGTGCTGCCGGTGGCACCGGTATGACCATGACACCCATGGTCAACAGAAGCAACATGCCTACCATAACCCCATGGGACCCGGCCCGAAGCGAAGGCAGCAGCAGCCATTTGAGTTGAAGCCTCAAGATGAGATTCACAGCCCTAGGGCTCTGTGTAAACCATCTTCACGTCGTGTTTTGCTCCTCCTTCTTGGCCCCCACCCACCAAAAAATAGGTGAGGTCGCTGCTGCTCAACTTGAATACTGTTGGATGCTGCTGAGTATCGCTTGGTTTTTCCTTGTCCTTATATTATTCTCTACATGCCCGCAGCTGACACAGAGCCCGACACAGAAACGCCACGTGCAGGCCATCCTCTGTCATTAAAACTAGACATCCCTGTAATTCTTACACAACGAAGGCCAAGGAGGAGGAAAAGGCGCTGGGCTGAACGAAGAGCACCGTGACTCGCTTCCATGCTTCGCCCCGTGCTACAGCAGAGCTCGTGGTGCCGCCTGCCCGGCGTGCAGCACGGTTCCAACTGCCGCCCCGCTCCCCCAGCCGTGCTTCCCCGGCCAGCTTTGCCTCCGTAGCTCCAGTTCCTACCCTACCCATAAGGCATTTAAAGTTGGGGCTCTTCAAGCCCAAATCGTGAAGATTTAGGTGCACACGTTTGCTATGGCACTGAAATGCTGCCGCGCAGGAGCTCGCGGCAGTGGCGTGCAAAGCATACGACCGCAGCTCTTCTTTCCATGGCAGGGGGTGGAATCTGCTTCCAGCACTTACTTGAATGGTTTTGCAATACTTTGACCACCTCATTTCTCATGTTTAAGGAGAGACGCTGCCAGGAAATATGATTTTTTTTTTTTTTTTTAATACGGAAGCAGGATGCTGGGAAATGCGTTGTGTATTTACAGTCCCCCGTGTCCAAACTCATTCCCGCTCCCCGTCCGCGACGACAGCCGTCTTTGCACGCAGGCAGGTACTGCGCCGCTCCCACTGCAGCTTCTGAGCCACCAAAATGCTGGAATATGCTCTCTATTATTAAGCAAATGACACGCAAGAGACCTGGCTGCAGAACTAAGCCTTTTACTAAGAAGAAAAGCAATCAGTCCGTCATTAATTTTGCCTTCAAAACAATTCACTGCAGGTATGTAAGCAACCCAGCACAGGGAGCCTACACAAATCTCAGATCCTCTTCTGCTTTTCATAAGCAGATCAAACCTGATCCAAAAGGCCTTTAACTTCTACATCGCAGTCAAGCTGACATCAGGCCAGTAAATACGGAGCTGATTTTTGTTATGGGATACATTTATAACGATGGGACTCTCCAGAGACAGAGGACAATCCTGTATTATCTTGTCTGCCTTCAGGGTCTTGAGCCCTTCTCAGATTTTTACTTTCGAGAAAGCAAAAATTAAATACATCTTCTGAAGAGAACTAAATCCCTAGCTACTGAAGTTACCGAGATCATGTTTTCATGCCCGACACTGCCGTGGCTGCCTGTATGTGCAAAACCAGAAGCATGGCAGGTCTATAGCAAGCTGTAATTGTGTTCAACCTTATTCCCCCCTCTCTTTCCTCCCCTATTTTAACCTGAAATGTGAAAACATTTCCCTAAGGTCAGTTTTTTCTCTGATTTTACTATGTGCTTTGCATACAATACTCAAATATTAGCCAAGTCAACTTATGTAAATTAAAACAAGACAGCAAGCCTCTTGCTTGCAACCCTCCCACTTCAGGTTGTCTCTCAAACCAAGCAGGGTCTGTGCAGGTCAGATTTTGCCAGGGAATTTCCAAGGAATTACAAGTGTCATTGAACCAGAGAAATCTGGGCTTAGCAGAAATAAGCCGGGGTGGGAGTCGGAATGACTGTCCTGTTCCTAGGAGGAAGCGATGTTGACATTTCTCTTCCAATACTGAGTCAGAAGTTTCCCAGCACATGGGAGAGGTGCTCACAGCTCTGGTATGCTCTTTTTATTGGAAATCAGCTACATAACTGAATTTGTCTGCTTTCAAATCCCTCTTTCTGAACAGGCTACCCTGTCCCAAGCCATAGGGTCAACGCTGACCTCCTCTCTGAGATGTCCAAGTTGCTTAAAGCCATTTCCCCAACCATGCTCCAAGCCACCACTCCCTCGATTGCTAAGTTAACACTCAAGTATTGCAAAATGTCACTTTTAAAAATCTTTCAGAAGCTTCTGATGGTCCAAGGGTCAGAGATTCACACTAAACGACAGGGGACCTTACACATCCATCCCTGACTGTGTCCTCAGTGTGTCACAACTTCGGCTAAGCCAAAGACCTGCCTGTGCCACAGGTCTCATCCTGCACAGCCCCGTTTTCTGCTTCTGGAGCCCTCTTCTCTCCGAAGCAGGAGGCCTTGGCAGGATGCCCCTTGTATCAGCTCCGGCTCCTTTCCTTAGGCAAATCAAAATTCTCCATAAGGTGATCCAGTGCACTAGAGGATGCTACGATTTCATCTTGAGGAAATAAAAGGAAAGAGATTACAGAGAAGTTGCACACTGAAGACAGCCCTAATTCTGCACCAGGGAAAGACAAAGCTGTCTAAGCGATGCTCGGAGGTGCTCAGGCCACCTTCTGAGAGAGGACTTCTTCCACGCTTGCAACTGCTGGCGACTCCCATGTCCTTCTCCCAGGGATGGGGATATTAGGTCTGCAGTGCGCGAATATGCAAGTAATTTAACACAACCGAAATTCCTCCTACCTATTCCGTTAGGTAGCCTAAACCTTGTTTCCCACTTTACTTATTCCTTTGTACGACTACTGTATTTCAACTCCTGAACTAAGCGGATTTTGAGGAACACTAAAGCACAGTCGGTGTTATCATTCGCTCTCTCTGCAAAGTAATTTGAAATAAAATGAGCTAAAAATCAGGCGGTCTAAACCACCCAGAACCAACAGTAAACACAGCCTGCAAGCCCCTTGTTCATGGGTTTTGTCCTGGGAAAGCTGAAGACGGCCTTTAGGATCATGAGGGTGGAGCACAGAATACTTGCACCGGGTCACAACTGATTATCCACCTTTATTTAAAAACAACTTCACCTGGAGTACATCGTTTGCCACAAAGTGTGGCTGTATTACTTTGGTGCATCTTAAAAACATAAGCAGTAGTGGTTGTATTGACATACAAAATCAGCTACAGGTGTAACCCAAATTATTATATATATAAACGGTGATATATAAACAATAATGTTGTACCTTACTTTCCCATAATTTCCTATCGCATTTGGCACAGCCACCATGCGTACAAGTACAACGATGTTATGTAGAGGACCTCCACCTGGCTGTCGGGTTTCTTCACCTATATATGTATTGGCATAAAAAGCAAGAGAGCAACACAAGTAACTTTAAGCAGGATCCCCTTCTCCTTATTTATAAATACTGTATTTCAAACAGAACAGCACGGTGAGGAGAAATTAGTTAAACAGCTTCAGTTATTCTTTAGTATCATAATTTAACCACAGGTAGGTAAGTTTTAAAATTAAGACAAGAGTAGCTTCAGGAAATTATTCTCTCTCTCCCTGGGATAAGTCCAGAAGAACTTATCTGGATGGGAACAGGACAGAGTCTCTCTCTACCAAAATTGTACCAGGCAAATTAATTTCTTGTGGTCCTGGAACGTATACAGTGCAGGCGTCTTCAAGAAATTCACATTGTACTCTGGGATTAGTCTGCAAAGGATGTGCAAATTTTAAAAAGGCTCGATTTCCCTGTTGTCTGAAAGCTACTGAAGTGCATCCTCCCCTCGCAAACAGGAGGAACGGCCTCCCCTTCCCAGCACGCGGCACAGCAAGAGCCGAACAGGAGACTGCACATTTTATTGCTGAAGAAAAAAATAAACCCCAAGCACTGTTGATTGGGAAGTGTTTAGTTACACAGCCTTGCCCTATCTCCACATCAACCTGCAAGCTATGCTATTAGAATTAAATTATGTTAATTAGTCACATTCTTCTTATTCACAACAAGCCAGGGAAAGGGAAAACCAGAACGAAAAAGGTTCTTTTGATCGTTATGTCATAACTTCCTGGAGATCAGACTGAAAACGGCAAAATACAGCTTTTATCTGCACTTGAAAGGATCTGTGAGTTCTGTCATCGCCTTTCATCGTCATCTTAGAGACACATTAATTAGGTTTCAGCAGATACAGCAGACGAGAAAAAAGAGTAACATGCTAGACACAAACCTCCACCCTAGCTCTCCAGGCAGGAGCTGTGCCGCCGGAGGAAATCTTTCCTCTATGAAAACCAGAATAACAGACCTCTCAACTTCAGATCCCCCAAGAAAGGGACAAGACCACACACACAAAGGATACGTGGGGGCGAAATGCCAGACCCTGCTCTTTTAAGCCAAAACTGAGGTCTATTTTTTTAAAAAAAGCACAGAAGTGAAGCAGGCAATCAAATGCACGGAAAGCTTAAAGCATTCACCGAAAGTCCGAAATAGAACAAATGAACGTTGAAAGGTTGCACCCGTATGAAATCATTTGAGACTGAACACCACATGAGAAGAATTACCGCCTTCTCCTCCAGGGAAGCAGGTTATTTTTACTCAAAGACAGAAAAGGTTCTGGTCACAGCCCAATATGCCCCACGCAACTGCACCAAGTGCCTTCTCCCCCCCAGAAGAAAATGACTTCAGCTTCTATCGGTAAGAAAAACAAGATTTTTGGTATCGGTTTCCGAACAGGCTGCTTAGTCTGTAACCCAAAGCTGTGTTTTTACAGCACTCTTTCGTGAGGACTTTTAACAGAGGCTGCTTGTCTGGAGAGGTGCTGCCAACCGATACGGCACCTTGGCAATTAACAAATTAACAAAACGCTTTCCTCGTGCATCCCCCTCTTGAAGACTTAATGAACATAAATGGGATGAAACACTCAAACCTAACCCAGCGCAGAATCCCAAGCAGCAGATGAAAGGAACAGCAAATCGGCATTTTTTTTTCCTCAAGCCTACAACCCCTTGTTTTGAAACAGACACCCCCCAAAAAAAATCAAAGGAGAATTTAAAGCTGTGGAAACACAGAGTGAAAATTATCTCCAGAAAATACATAATCCAAAGACTCCTCTAAACAGTTTGTGTTTTGACAAGTTAAACGACAGGTGAAGGCTTGAAGGAGTCTGCAAGTAAGTAAAGCTACGGACTGTTGGTAAATATTTCCTTTTCACACTCTTCCTATTACATACGCTGAAACCATTTACTTTTGGAAGGCAGCAATGTTTAAGCAGCACACAGAACAGCAAACATTACTGATTAGTATCATGCCGGGACTTGCTGGCAGGGAAAGGCAATGCAAGTACAGTTAACTACACGACTGTTTTGAGAGCTATTACCATTTCTCTCCAGAAAAAAACCCTGCAAATCCTCCATGAAAGAATCAAGTTGCTGATCATCTTCTTTTGGATATCAGTGTTGAGGGTTTCCCAGCTTGGCTTAAGCAACCAAAACGAAAATAGCTGAACAACTCGTGCAATTATTTAAAGACTGGATGTTTAGAAGAAGAAAATGGTCATCCACTGGGAAACATTCAAAACAAGACAGATTCACACTAAATAAAAAAGGCAACTTCATCGTTCCACTGACGAACTGAAAGAAGAACACACATTAAGTACAAAAATGTCCCACAATTACAGATCAAGTGCCCACTCATCGCGAGGGGAGCTCTGCACAAAAACACAGGGATCAACTTTAGCCTGTCAGGATTCAGTTCTCCATTTATAAGTATCAATTTTTGTCGTTTTAAGCAAATAAAGCTAATTGCACACTTGCCTGGATCTCATGAGATGAGTTCAGCACCAAAATTTTAGAGTTTAATTTGGGGGGAGGAAGCTAAAAAGTGCCAAATCTATAAAATGGGAACTTTTTAAGCTCAAGTTTGCTGCACATTTCCCCTTCAATGTTATTTTCACGAAGTAAAAACCCCATCAGTTTAATACACATGTGCAAGGGACTAAAAAGGTGATTAAGAAATGTCTTACTCTTGCACTTTTTTACTTTACACTTCACAAACACTATACAACATGGCAAGACGTAACAAACATTAAAAAATAAGCATCCGGTTAGCTGCCAGCTGAGCTTTGAACGGGTATCAAGAAAGCCTTGCGAAGTATTTGGGGAAATTTTTGAACGTAGTTTTTGCTTCACCATTTGTGTCAGCGTACAGCACAGTTTACTTTTTCTGTTTGGTACCCAGAAGCTGTCAGAGAAACGTCAGTTGTCAGCTTCACCTTCTCGGTGTCACCTAGTGAGTCAAGAACTGGTAGAAGAACATTACAGGGAAGCATCAGCTTTGCCACAGAACATTCCTGTTCCTGTAACCAGTGTTTCATTGATAAATAACTAGTTTTCAAAATAAGTTATTACATCTAAACCATAGCAGTGTAGTTCAGAGGGACATGAGAAGTCTTCAATCTCACGTGAGTCAAGGGAGTAACATCACCGGGAGGAAGTCCTAAAGTTTAAAATCTTATTACTCACTTCTCTGACAAAAGCAATGCACCTCTTAAAAATAAAGTTTGTATCGTGAAGGAAATCTCGTCGGTCCCCTGGTAATAACTCACTGTAGCGAGCAGTGCCGGCTTCCCCCCAGTGGAAAGCCAGTAAGGTAGTTTAGGCATAGTTGGAAAGGACCAAACAAGAGTGTGTTTTGGACACCACCATCCATTTTTTTCACAGCAAGGAAGAAAGGGCTGACAACTCGCTTATTTAAAGTCATCGTCGTCGTCTTTTTTTGTAATTGTCTTTTCTTCAGTCACAGTTTCAGTGCCCGTTTGAATCGGCAGGCTGAGGGCAGTGAGAACATCCCGCTGCCTCCAGTGCATCACGCTGGTAAAAATCAGCAGCGCACTGACCACCGAGCACAGTGGCTCGAAATTTTATCTCACCTAAACATCTATGAAAGGCATGTGATCAGTTATTTCAACTGATTCAATTAATACATATTATTAAGGAAAAGAGAAAACAGTTAATCTGAAAAAAATTTTGGCTGAAGACTTCCTCAGGAATCAGTCGAGAGCACTCACCAGCAAGCAGGCCTGAAGTTCAGGCTGTTTGTTAGGCAGAGTTTGTGATATAAAGTATGTATGTGTATACATAAATATGGATATATTTGTGTATATATTGTTATATCACAAAGTATATATCACATATATCTATGTTTTATATATAAATAATCACAAATAGTTTTATACCACAAATTCTACCTATACACCGCCCCTACCACCACCTGTTTTTAGGATTTGACATTTTTTAGGAATTTTCAAATCAAACATATGCAGTGCTGTAAGAAGGAAAATAATACAAAATTTTATCCTATTAAATCCCACCAAGATCTTTTCCTGGATGTGCTGATGCGACTGCTGCGCGTTTTTTCATGTAAACTCTTGTGGCTTATCCATGAAGTGCAATCAAAGTTGTCAGGATCATGAAACCCCTTTAACTGGAATTTTACTGTCTATGCAGTATCAAGTGGAATGAGCCTTTATATATTTATTCTTCGCAGACTGACTGCATCTCTTCAAGTTCTCTCTCGCTTTCTGCATCCTGGAAATGCAATAAAAGAGCAGATAAATACACAGCCTAATTGAAACAATTAAAAAAGAGAATTTCCCTTTTCTTCTCCAACCCCATACCAGGTTTTAAGTATACCCCCAGGCTTACATTTTTCCTCCTAATGCTTTGTTTTTTTCTCCCCTGTACTTCCCTCTCGACGCTACTGTCTTTGAAGTTTTCCAAGTGTCAAAGAGAGTTTCTCTTATGTTTCCTTTTGAGAGACGAGAACTGACAACCTGAACAGCAGAATTCAAACCTCTGCTCCCTCACTGACTTTCACAGTCTGGATAAATGCCTTTGTTTTTCCTTCTCAACATGACGCAAGTTATTTGATTGATGACGAGAATTTGCAAAGACTTAACAAAGCCACTTAAGCATTGGCTTCCTTACTTGACTCCCACTTCTAATTTCAGAGCAGGAGAGAGAATTAACTGTTCATGACTTTTCTGCCTGTAGCGCTCTCCTGGTCTTTCCTGAAAATCTCAATACTTTTCTGATTAACCTCTTACGCCTCCAACACATGTATTTCTTGTTCTTTTGGAAAAAAAAAATCCTCTTTCTATTTATCAGACATACCATTCTAACTCTGCCTAGAGAGATTTACAACCAGCGTACGGTGAGGAAGCTCCTGATCAGGCAGAGCTAGGGTATTTCCTTCTGCAAGAAGGGAATAAATTCTGCTCCATGCCCTGGTTTCCCCAGATTTGGCAGTAGCCAGTGGCCAAGTGGTTTATGCAATACTGGACAGTGCCCTGCAGGTGGTAGCACAGGCAAGTCAGCTCCTTGCCAGATGGTTTGCCAAGATCTCTCACAGGCTTGCGGTTTGAATCTCGGCACAATACTTTTGCTACAACAACCTAAACACTGCTTATGGCCTTAAAAAAAGAGTGGCATGAAAATGCTGTGTATTTCTATAATTCTGCCTTACACCCAGAACGTTTATTCCATCAGACTAAGGCTGAAGCTGTAAGAGCTGGAGGACCTTGCTTACATTACTTTGCTTGCATTTTTCATGACAATGCAAAGATCATCAGATCAATATTAAAAGCTGATGTGTTTTTATTCAGTTTCTAACTGGCAGTAATTTGAGGGCACCTTCTATACAGTTTCTGCTTAACAGGAAAAGTGCAAGGGAAAAGGAAAGCGCAAAAGAGCTCCCAGCTGGGGAACACTGCCAGATGGCAGTTTCTAAGACGCAGTACAGTCTGCTCTCCAAAACCCTGTAAAAGTAATAAAAGAGCTGAAATATCCTAGATATTAAAAAAAAAAAAAAAAATGCTGGGCAGCACACACAAACTTCTGAATGGCTCAGCACAACCAGCTCCAGCCTGGGGGAGCTTAGGAGCTAACTTGGCACCAAGAGAGTTAAATGTTGGCTGCTCCTCCAAAGCTACACGGGTAATTAGAAGAGGTAATACAGTGCTCCAGCCCCAGGACAACCACTCAGCTTAAGTGGCCCCATCCGAATTGAGCTGGCCAGGCATGATAGCGCCCAAACGAATAAACCTTCCCCAAAAATGGGGTACTGGGAAGTGTTCTGCAGCTGCTCAGCAGTTCTGCAGATATTCCAGTTTATGAGCTGCAGTGCTGAATCCGTGCAGGGCATTCAAATGTGTCTATAACCTAACCCTAGAAGCAGCACAGTATTTGCACGGTGGTGTGCTGGACTTCTAAGCCCGTGTCAGACATACTCTTAACTTCTTAATATTTTTTGTTATTTTGCTGAATTGCTTTAGGCATTCGGATAACAGGTCCCAAGAGAAGAAAAGAGTCCACGCTAAGGAACAAAATACTTTAAAACCTGGGCTTACAAGCTGGAACATCTTTTAGAAAACAATTTTATCTCTGTAACCATTTTGTCTCTGCTCATCATCAATGCGTGCTTATTGAGACTGCTACCTCTTTTGTATTAACTGGCAGCTCTGAAGCAAGATTCATCCAGAGAACAGCTGCAGAGTTGTTCCCCAGGTCCCTGTAACACTGTGAAGAAAAAATGACAATGTGAGAAGAGTTAAATGGGAAAAAATAGGCAGCAAATGTAACTGAGCAATTATGAACCCTGGCAACTGATAAAAAGAGCTATTTCTACCTCTTAACCATTTGCACTGTATAGTTTCAGGCTTCTGACATTTCCTGCAGTATCCTTCATTCACAAAGCATTATAATCACCATCAGATTATGGAATATTAGATTTCCTTTTTTGGTTTTTTTTGTTCGTGTTTGTTTTTGTCTTTGTTTTGGGCAAGGAGATTGGTTTTTTTGTTTGGAGATTTTAAGGCGTCCCTGTGATTGTCACCATTTTCCAAGCTCTATTTTTATTTCTGCTTAGCCACTATTCCTTACACCGCTTTCATCACAAAACCTCTATACTGAGAGCACATTATCTTACAAAGCTTACATTCCCTAGGCTGTTAAAAATGAGGTTCAACTGCAAGCACTGTAACATCTAACATTTACAAGTCTCACAATAGGCGTGAAATATTCTTCATCATGAACTCTTCTTCAACAGCAGAGAAACAGTCATCCCTCTATGTAACAGGAAGGTTTTCAGTGCCTAGAGAATCATGGAGGCATTTGGGGACTAAGAAATAAGCATGGTAAAAGGAAGTGGTTGCTAAAAAAACACAAACAAAAAACCATCAGCAATGCAGTTAATCATTGTTGCAATTGCCACAAAAAGCCAACATTCAGTTAGGCTAAGGGCAACAGTTAAACTCCTGCAGCGCTATTACTTCAGACTCTGAAATGTCACTGCACGGTATATTGTATGTGTGTATTTTGGTGATTTTCCTGCGTCGTGGGATAGTTCTGAAAGAGGACTATCTGTTCTGCTGTGAGCACTGTCAAATTTCTGCATCTAGTGAATTCAAAACAGACGGAGCCATGGACATCCTCGAAGCCTTTAAAAACCCTGCGTCCCTGTATTTCAGTCAAAAATGTCAGAAGATAACTATAAAACACAGTTGTTCTTTTCTTTGAAGTTTGACCTATCAGAGCACTATCTCCTTCAAAATAATTAGATACCAAATGCACTTGTTAAATTTTGTGATTATGGATGTGATCCAAAGTGACAGAGCCTGGGATTAGGAAAAAAAAACCCAAACCCAAAATCAAACAGATACAAGTAGTCCTATTAACCTCTATGCTAATTCGTGTTTGCAGAGTATTTCTGAAGCTCAGTCACATCTGCCAGACACGTGGTGGACTATTAGCCCAATAAAAACGTATCAGCCCATGTAGATTACACACAATAAAACCCAATTTTTTACATCAACTCTGAAAATCTGTTCAGGTTAAGACTTGCAAGGATTTGCTCCTGCAACTTCACTGGAAATAAGTTCTAAGTCTTCCATTCTTTAGTCTATACAAGACATTTAGGGGCAATTCTGAATTTCCATGAATGCTGGTTATATTTACAAGCAGAGAGAGAAGCAATTAAGAGCACATTTGTCATGGTACGTAAGTAGCCAGAAACAAAAGGCTAGCTGATTTATGAACATGTAGCTGATTTTACCTAAATAAACACACACAGTGAGCTGCAATATATCAAAGACAAAGTCCAGCTGGTGGGAAGGCTACTACACCTCTTGCTGGGTTTTCCTCCTCTGCTATCACCTTCATTTTCCTTTAATGAGATGCGTACTATGAAATAAATTCTGCACCTAGGTTCCAGTAATAATGTACTCCAGACCAAGCAGATCCTACGACTTGCACGCTACCCTGATAAAATTCACATTCTTTGGGACATTGGGAATTCAGCAATTTCACAGAGAAGGACTACAGCTACTCTTTGCTACGCCCACTCTGGCTAATACTTCTAAAGCTATTTGGGCTTTAAATATTTCTAGACTCCAGCTGGAGGTTGTAGAAATTAAGCAGCAATTTTAACATTTAAGAGTTCAAAACTAATTATTCCCTCAATGCAAACAAAAAGGTCTTCGGAGCTCCACTCCAAGCACTCGTGGTGTATTTATTCATCGCTCAAGACTCCCATCTGTATTGGTAAAATAGAGACATACTTTATCCTTTACTTTTCCCCATGATTCTTTCTGTATACACCACAGAAATCCATGGTGGTGGTGGGATTAGACCTCCAGCCTGTGGCTTACAAGTTACCAGTACCGCTTTCTACAGAGTTTGATCTGTTAAAAAACAAGAAGGATGCTCCACTGGATGACTGAAAGGCGAAATCCTCCCTGAATTTTAATGCCTCTGCACTAAATGATTTGGCCTTTTTCAGAAATGTTATCATCTTATAAAATCTTGCTTCTGCACGGAGTAATTTACATGTGCTTAGCACTTTACAGCCAAAGATAATTTTTTAATACAAATATTTCTTATCCTAGAAGCATATGACTGAACTAAAGAAAGCAACAAGTGACTGGTTACCTTGGCAATGTATACTCTTCCTGCTTTGGAAAATCCTGGGCTCAGTTCCTCAACCTACAAAGAACAAAGGGGAGGGTGTGACGGGCAGAGAAAAGCAGACATTAGGATATGCAAAGGACACAGTTAATGCCTATATCAGGCCTCCTGCATCTCTTTAAAAAAAACAAAAAATAAAAAAAAATAGATGACTAAACCCTGCTTTTGTAAATGCATAGATCAGTGTAAGAATTTTTCATAGGCTTGCCTGGCTGGGTTAGTAAAGTCCTCAGATTCTCATAAAGTGCCTGTGACTCAACGAACACCACCCATACTCTCACCTAATGTCAGTGTCATGGAAGAACGGTGAGGTGGTGAAGTCAAGCACTCAGAAACTAAGGGAAACCAGAACCAGCTTGATGGCCTCCTCCTGCACATGTGCGTGCACTATTTTTAACCTCCTTGCCCATTCAGTCTCATCCACTTGGGCTCCTCCCGAATATGTTGGTGCCAAACCTCAGCAATCTTCCCCCAGTTTTTATCTTCTCCTTCCTGGCTACTAATTCCCAGTTTCCTAGTTACCCACGTCCCTCTGTTTTCTTCCATTCATCTCAGTTATAGTCATCACTCTCCAAGCAATTTTGTGCCAGTATGTTCCTATTACGAACCCTTGGCTTGACCCATATCCCATCTGCATTCAAACTCCCCAACGTGCTCTACCAAGACGCCTGAGCCCACACCTCAGAGGAAGCACTGAGAGCACAACACACACAACGTTCCTCCTCCTAATTTTGTTGTCTGGCCTTAGACCTAGTTCAGCTTGTGACTAACCCAGAGCTGCAATTTGCCAGATTTCCATTCCCCTGAAGCATGCCAACTGTGGCTGAGAGCTGAAATGGACTCAGCTGAGCGCATGGGAAGTGCACTTGTTCAGGGGATAATTAGCTTCCAGAGGGATGCTTTTGTGTCCTTTTAAAATTCTCTCTGTATTTGACCAAAGCTAAACCTCAGAAAAATGCAAGTTCCTGTTTCAAACCACAGCGCCGCTCTAACGTATCAATAAAAGTGACGAGTTATTTTTCTTTCTAATGAAAAGAATCGAAACACTTTGCCTCAAACTTATCTCTGAAATGATTTTAACCACTACGGCTGAAAAGTATATTGCCTAGGGCAGATACCTATCACAAACTTCCCTCTCAAACAATTACATTTTTGGCAAAATTATAAGAAATTGAAGTAAGTATGATATTCCCTAACACTTTGCAGAACTGCTGGCCCAATCTGAGTTATAAAGTGGTAGGGCAATTTGTTTCTGTAACACTTCATCAGAGGTGCTTAAGAGTAGTTCTCACAGGCACAGCCAAAGGCAGTCTGTTTAACTCATTCATCTTGTGCAGACCCTTGCAACAAGAGCTATATGCTCAAAAACGCGACTCAGGCCAAGTCTTAAATTCATTTTCATCAACAGGAGGACAAAAAAAGCCATTCAGAGGGTAGGATTCTTACAACGTAGGAAGTACTCCTAAGAATTTATTTCTAGAAATACATAAGCAATGTGCCCCTGAAACCTTAAAGTAGTCGTCTTCAAAAGTTTGAGATGAAGAAGTTTGACCTAATCAGGCAGCCTTTTAATAAAATATTCTGAGAGAAATTAAAATGACAGAATGTATCTATGCAAGCATTCCCAGGGATGAGCTCAAGCAGATCTTACAGACCCTGAAAGAGGACAGACCGTATGCATTTAGTATCAAGCAATGAATCACTCCACTATGCAGCTTTTAAAAGGAAAACCAAAGCCCTTAAAAACAATTCTGAACATTTTGGGTCTAGTTCTGATGTCTTCAAAATCACGTTCTTCTGTCTGGCTCCAAAATTTTTGCTTTCACCAGCTTTTTTCTTCCACAGGTTCTAGTCAATGGAGATGTATCGTGGAGCACTTGGGGAGTGATGAGTTTAAGCAGAATACAAGTACTCCAGTTGTGATTGCATTTGTCAGGTTAGCGATTCCTTTGCTTATCAGATTTCATTACCCGTAAGAAGTTTTGCAGTGCGTCCTGTACAGTGGCTGTAGGAGGGGCTTCAAACAAAGCAGAAGCAGTCTTTTTTTCAAGCCATCCCAGGTGGGAAACCTGCAGAGACAGTAAGATGAAACTGTCAAACCACTAGAGACACAGCACATGCAAAAGTATAGAGACAAGGAATTATCCAGTTTCTTGTAGCTGGCTCGTGCACCTGGGAGAAAGCCAAAGATCTTGGTAGCGTCGGCAGATTTTGGACGAGTGTCCAAGTCGGGCCACAGAATTAAACCTGATTTGCTCTTCCTTGTCCTGAGTTAGCTTTTGCAGTTCCATACATCAGCTGCCATATGCATAATGCTCAAAGTAAGATTTGTCTCTACAACTGAATATTACAGGCATGCAACAGTGTGGGTGGTCCAAAATCCCAAACCGCCTTACTGCAACCACACCAGTTCCCGGCAGTTCCCACCTATGCATCGGAGCAAATGCACATATGGAGCTCTCCCGTCTCCCAGCTTCAATCTCGTACAAGAACGTGTTCTCACCACACAAAGATCCCTCGAGAGAGGCAGACTAAAGCCTTCCCACCAACAGATATTCACATTTTGAGAAATAGGTAGCTACTTCATACTTCACGAATTTCAATTATTTAATGAAATCTTATTCTCCTGCTCCCAGCTCCTCTCTCTCTAATAAGAAACACCCTGAAGTTTCAATGGGGGAAAGGATGCATAGGACTGTAACTTCTGATAATATCTTCTTTGTTTAATACTGTATAATTCTTATAATGCCGAACAGCAGAAGCACTAACATATTTCTATATACATCTATTTTTGCTTCATAGCTTCAGCAGCTCTAAAAGCAGTAAGGCTGAGTAGAAAGTCCACAACAGAATAAAGAGCTAGGAGCTTCCACTAGTTTAGCTCACTGCTCCTCTGTAATTACCGGTGTCAATTATCTCAGCTACAATCTCTGCAATGTGACTGCATTTTTGACAGCAGCAAAGTGCTTTCAAATTGTATAAACTGAAAAGTAGATAGTTACTGCAAACTCTTATTTCTTTTTATAGGCACTAAATCTGATTTATGGTATTTGACTCCAAGCTTTTCCCTGTCAAGAAATATAAAGCAGTCGGCACACTTCTTCTAATACCTCCAATACTTTGTGTAGCAAGGGCAGAGGAAACACATGCAAAAGATTATACAGATAGACTGTGCGCAGAAGCTCTTGCCAGCCCTGAAATGTCCTTGATCACATCCATATGTGCCTGAAGGACTGAAGGTAGTTTGGTTTTACTAAGTAAAGCACGGGGAACAGTAAGCTAGTTTGCAGCTAGTGCTTTTCCTAATCCATTCTTTGCCATTTCACCTCTCATGCTGCCTGCAGTGACTGAAAAACTAGGTCCGGAGCCCCAAACCCTCCAGAGCTCCAATTCAGAGCAGTTCAGAAATAACACTTTTGGCAAACAGCTTCCCTCTGGGAAAGAGACAAAAAACAGGGGAAAAAACGAAGAGCAGAATAGTGGCAATAAAGAAATGAAACAGCAAAAACCCCAGCAGCTTTTACTCTATTGCACAGAGGTACACCAAGTACTTTTAAAGCCTTTTGTTGATTCGGGGACAGAAGTATTACAATAGCAAGAGCAAATGACATTGCCAATACGAAACTGCACTCTTCATGCTTTTGAAAACTTCAGTGTCTTCAATACCACTAACCTTTCTCTACCTTCTTCTAGCCTCTGATCATTAGCATAGAGCAACGCGCTGGAATGGACTCAGCCAGCATTTGTCCTGATGGCTAACTCTGTGTTTCTGTAGTCCCTCTCTTCCTATGAACTTACATAAACTCTTATTAAAAACCTGCACCATTTAAAATCTAGCGCTTTGAGTGGTAACACCAGTATGAACATTTTAGGTTTAACAGGAGGCAGACAAGAGGGAGATGGACTGCCTAAGACTTCTCGATTACAGTTAACGAAACAACTTAGATGGAAAGCTGAGAGATTCTGAATGACACTGTCCTGGCAGACAATAGTTTCAATAGTGCTTTTATAAAAGCATTGAGGTGCTACACATACAAGAACATGAGCTTTTACATCGTAAGAGGTTTCTGAATGCAATGCATTTATAGTATTCATCAGTGGAGTGTTTTTCTCAGCACTGTTTCAGGACTGGAATGAAGAGTTCCTAGATCCCACGCAAGTGCAACTTTTGAACTACTTCTTCAAGCAACTAGGGCATTTCCATACCTGTACTTTCTGATACAATATCTGAGTTCAGCAACTAAAGAGTGTCCTCAGTCCTTATGGCTGGTGGTTTGAATCCACCTATCTTTCATTCAAACAGGGAATTAAATTCCAAGGAGGAAGAACACAGCAGTAAGTAGTAATAAACTATTTTACCTGATAACACCACCTGCCCAAAAGATAGTAAGACTTTGGATCCTCTGGTTTCAGTTCAATCGCTTTATCGATGTGTTCCTATGGAAAATCATCACCAACACACATTACATTTTTGTTATAAGCAAATACAATATCCACAAGAGCAGGTGAACAAATGTGGAAAGAGGAAAGAAAGAAGTCCACAATTTAAGTGTCAGTGATCAATAAAATTACAGCTACAAAGAGATTCCAAATTTTCTTAAAATGGTTTCAGTGAACACAGAAAACCAGCATTTTATCAGCCTCAGAGACAAGAATTACTACACACAAAAAAAATGAAGCTGCCCTTCATTTTATTCTACCACCTTTTCAGAGCTTTGACATAACCAACTTACTGGTCATGTCAATAGCTGACGAGGTAATAATTATACGTGGCCTGTTCTGTAGTAAGTGTTCCAGATGCATCCTCTTACCCTGTAACATCCCCGCTGTGCATGAAAGGCAAATAAAGGAATCTGAGGCAGATTAAATCCTCTTTGAAAAATAACTGCTTTGCATTTATGGGAGGGTGCAAGCATGCTCACAGGCAGTTACTGAAGAAGAGTTGGTGCTGTATCTTATTACCACATGGTAATTTCATGTTTCAAGTTCTCAGTCTCATCATATACATACATTTTATTTGCAAGACTTTCCTCCTTCTTTTTTCTGAGATTATAGTGTGCAAAAGTGCAGAGCCAGACCAGTCACCCTCATCACACGTCGCTGGAATCGCCTTCCTCAGCCCAAATCACCCACTCATAGCATCTCTTTGAGACCTATTGCTTCCCTAATAAAAGGTGCAGCCAATTTTCCTAACTTACTACTACAGAAATAAGTATTGTTCAATACTTACACAAAAACCAGCATGTCCGTTCTACTCACCTTAAAAACATATCCAGTTTGAATACGCTTCTGAATACTCTCATGTTCCGATAACTGCCCACAAAGAATAGCGTACCTACACAGAGGAGACATTTGCATGAAATCAGTCAGTTTTAAATATACATTTACATTCTGTTGATATCTTCAGAAGGAAGATAATAAGTGCATTAAAGCTTCACAACTTACTGGGGAAAACAAGGAATGCTGTACATCTTTTACAGGGAAGAGACATATGCAGTAAAAATTTAGTGCACAAGAAGGCATTAGCCTGAAGGATGCCGGCAAGTCAACTGGAGTGGTTTGACGTGACACAAAAAGTCATTGCACTGATGGCTGGTCAGCCTTCCTTCTACATAAAACAGGAGCAGCACACTTCTACACCCTAAATTTCTTCACTCAGCAACGAAAGTGTGTCAAAACACAGAGCAGTGAAGAGTGAATGCTACTGCAGCGAGAGCCAGAACTACGAAAAGCTCTAATTAACTAAGGTGCGCAGCGATCTTCCATACGCAACACCCAATCTATAGCACAGCGGTTGTCTACTTCAAGGGAAAATATTGTGAAAACCTACCTATATCCTGCAGCCCAACACGGCCACCAAACTTGGGAAACAAAACAACACGTTTTCAGTGTTGCAAGTGCAAAGCCATTTAGTTTTGTCCAGTAAGAGATTGTAAATTTTGACCCTGAGAAGTACAGCACCTAGCAAAATTAGTTATTTCGTGAGCTGTCAAAGTTAAGGAAGGTTAATTACCCATGGATTTGCACCCTCCCATCTCACCTCCCTGCACCACAGTGGTTCAAACCCCCTCCCCTCCCTGCACTGCTTCCCAAGAAACAACAAATCGCAGAGGCTTGCAAGGGCACCGCTGCTAAACAGAACATGCGAATTGAAGTTTCAGCCGCGCCGATTCGGTCTTTGACCTCTGCCATCCCGCTTAGGTGAGAGCTGTGGGAATGGAAGAGGCTTCCCCCCTTTTCTCCGAGTTTGGCTCAAAAAATATTAGGTGGAACGGATGGACAAATGAATAACACAAGTCTCATTCTTTCAAAAAATAAAGCTGAAAAGAGGAAAGATGCAAGTAAACCTCCCTTGAGATTTCTTTTACTACATCCCCATCCAGCGTTGCTGGATACCCTGTCTCATCTCACCACACGATATCCCAAAGCATCCCTGGTGACGGTTAACCACAACAGATGTTCCTGCAGGAATTTGTCAGAAGACTTTTGAATCCCCAAGTACACTTTCTTCAGCGTCACGAAAAAACCCACAAAACATTTCACACCTCATTGCTCTTGCCTGAACTAAATTTTCAATGTGTAAGTTACAATACAAAGAAGTTGCGTCTCCTGAATATTTACAATTTTGTCATTAAATCTTATTCCTTTAAGATGTTAATTTTCTTGTGAAAAAACTCTGCTTCAGTTCTAAAATTCTTATTTTTCATGATAATGGGAAAGATTACCAGACCAATGTCTTAATTGGGTAAAATCCTTTCCCCCCCGTTGAAAAAGTTCACAGCTGCACTGCCATAATCTGTCACTTGCAGACGATGAAGTAAGTGTTTGTATGATCTTCTCCAGTTTGTTTCACAACAAACATCAGCCTGTGCTAAATATCCCTAACCACAACATGACTAGGGTTTAGAAATACAAGCCAATAAACGGCTTATTCTCTAAGATCGCAAGATAGAATATTCCTATACAATAAATCATGTAGTCTGTAACTCTGTCTAATGTATAGGAACTTGCCAGAACATAGCTCCTATAACCATGTTGTTTAGGCTCCCGAATACGTGGGCAGGCATTAAATACAATTAGGTCAAGTTTAAAGTTTTGCAACAAAACAGGCAAACACTGTGCCTTTTTAAAATGGAAGCTAAAATGCTGCATAACTTCCCTTTATACCACCCTGCCCTTCCCCAGGGAAAGCCTAACGAGCCCCTTCAGAGCAGCAATAAATCCGATGGGACACTAAGCTAGTTCAGTCTGATCCCTCTACCAACAATCATATAAACATCAAGTGGTGTGATATGCAGCTGTCAAGAAATATAAATACCAGATATTTTTTAACAGCCTGGTGAAATGTTACATAAAATAAGCAGTAAATAGCAGTCCTATCTTTGTGTCATGAAATAAGCTAAAAAAAAAATTTAAAAAAAAAAAAAAAAGTAAGAGATGCCTGAACTGGTTTTTCACTGCAGTCCCAGGAAAAGGCGACTCTGCCCGACCCCACTTTGCTGGTCTCAGCCCTTTGCTTGAACCTTCCTTTTCAACTTGTGCCTCGAGGTCCAGGGCCACCAGCCTGTTGGTGATTTTCATATGCAAGACTTTGCCTAAAAAAAAAATTAAAAAAAAAAAAAAAGTAAGAGATGCCTGAACTGGTTTTTCACTGCAGTCCCAGGAAAAGACGACTCTACCCGACCCCACTTTGCTGGTCTCAGCCCTTTGCTTGAACCCTCCTTTTCAACTTGTGCCTCGAGGTCCAGGGCCACCAGCCTGTTGGTGATTTTCATATGCAAGACTTTGCAGTTCTGAGATTTTAGGCTCTGGAGGTCTTCAGATCCCGACTTCCCTTCCTCACTTGGCAGCGCCAAGATGGTTTTCCACTCTTCTCTCTCCTGCTTGTTTAGCTTGGCTTGTTGGAGCTATTTATTCTAGTTCATTTTATGAAATGCCTTGGGATGAATGTCACAAGAGGCACTACTGAGTTGCAGGAGGACTGACTAGCAGTAATAGGATAGATTAAAAATAATGAGTTAGGGAAGGGGATTTTCATTTTCTGTAAACAATATGTAACCTCTGAAGCACTGTTCAGATCGATGTCTCAGCAGTTACCGAAACCTTATATTATGGTATCGCTCAACTAATTATTAACCAGAACTACTCATTAAGCTGCTGACGCTGGTCAAACTGCAAGTCCCCATAGGAATCTCAGTTCCGTAAGGACTTCCCCATTTATTAGAAAATAAACTCTGTGGAAGCAGATACTACCAGATGAGAGACCGTCTGTTCTTCCAGCTTAAATCCCCAAGCTCAGAACACGCAGCTTTGAAGAAACTTCATTTTCGATGCTGCACTCTGGCTGACTTTTGGCCTCTGAACACAAAATGCACAGCTCTGCGCAGCCCAGCACCGCCAGCTCCAATGGCCAGGGTGCTTTGCCAACCCAAATACATCTCTTATCTCTTTTAACTGTTTCAAAGACTCGCTAGCTGAGTGTGCTGCAGCTCCTTTCTGCGCAAGACAATCAGTAAACTAAAAAGAAATGGTGAGGCAAAGGGGAATAAAAGGAGAAGGGGAAAGAAGTGGGGAGAAGCAGCTGTTTTGCAGCCAACTGATAAAAGTGAAATAGAGCGTGTTTCATATTGCCGAAGATGAGTCAAACATGAAAGTCTGACCACTGACAACAGCATGAAGACATGGAAGTTCTTTCCCTTTATTGACATCAAAATTTGCTTCATACATATTTAACTAATTTTTCATGGCAACACCCAACAAATTAATGAGCTAGAATATCTTCCTATTCAATCAGCACTAGCTGTGAACTGGATACATCAAGGCTAGCCTGTAAAAATTGTTCAGTGCCATTCAAGCAGCACTGCTAGTAAATCAAGAGAGGTTTTATCACACACAGACAAGGAGATAAAAACCCTTGTCGGAGCTCAACTTTCAGTTACCAGAGTCAGATGAAAGCTAGAAGAATAAAACCCCTTCTAACCAAGTAAATAATTCAGAGAAACAGAGCTCCAAAATATACATCTTGATAAAGAAGTTAGAAGTTTTCCCAATATTTTATGAGTATTACCAGTTTTTCACCTTCCTGTGCACTGAGTAGGTATGTGTTAGTCTCTTCACTTGAGTAAGGGAAGGAGACAGATAATTAGCACGCAGGTATTTAGACTGCAATGAAACACACCAAAAATGAAAATAATCATTAATTTAGGAATTAGTACCTTGGGAGAGACAGCAGAATTCCCATTGACTTAACCAAAATTAATGACCGGCTAGTCATAAAGAGCTTGGAAAAGAAAGCTTTGGCTTTTCTAAGGGTAGACAAGATCGAAGGAAAAAACGAGGAAGGCAGAAGCACTCCTCCGGCCTTGTCTGCACAGAGCTCAGTGAGGAGGTCGGGGTGTAAATTCACAAAGCATCAGTTAAGCTGAAATAATTCCCCATTTGGATATACGTAGCAGCACCGCACTCCAGCTGCACAACCAGAAGATGCCCCTTCCTTACAGGCCATGAACATCCATATGGGAGAGTTTCTATATTGTCTATGTACAACCAAGTTTCGGCATTAACTTTCCAGCGCACGCGAGCCCCAAGTCTAAGTTTGGCTTTGCCCTACCAGCAGCAGAAGTCTACGGCTGTGTGCCAGTTGAGTACTAATAAATGCTGGTTTACTTTGTAGAAAGCCACGTCACTGCTGTGTTCACTGCTGGTCATACGTCTTCCCAGAGAAGGGTAAGAATTCATCAAGAGCCTTGCTGGCTTGACATGGGAAATAAAAAGCCCAGTTTGAGGCCTAAAAAAGCCAAGATTTATGCAGAGACAGCAAATCTATATGTGCGGACTAGTTGAAAAGGGTACTTGACGATGATGGCATGTAGGCTAGAAATTTAAGCACAATAAATCATGGTCTGGATTAAGGCAACACTAATTTTCTACTGTCACTGTCTCAATTTTCCATGAGGATTAAAATTTTATACATGTATTTTCACACTAAGGGATCACATCAAAAAGCGAAGTGATGAACATTGGCTTCATCCCTCTTCTGACTCACAAAAATACTTACAGCTGCTCTTAAATTGTAAAAAAAAAACCAAACCACCAAGTATGTATACAGGAACACTTTTCAGGATGCTTTCCACCACCCCTTTAATAACATTTCATTTAATAAATTCTGAAAATTGGCCACTGCCCAAAGAGTTTTGAGACATCAAATGTTTTAGCCTTTGAATGATCCACACAGGTCACCAGATGCATGTTATTCACAACTTTTTGCATAGTTAATAGGTAAAGATAAAGTCCTCTTTGCATGCACATGTAATTATATAGCTTTGCTGTCCAGGG